TTTTGACAAAGGGCTGAAATCCATTAAATGCTAAAGAGATAGTCTCTTTAACAAATCATGCTGGTAAAACTGGATATCCTTTCACAGAAAAATGAAACAAGATCGTACCTCACACCATGCACAAAAACTAACTCTAGATGGATCAAAAACTTAAATGTAAAACCTAAAATTATAAAGTTCCTCAAGGGAAAACTAGGGACAAATTTAGGGGCCTTAATTTATGGCATAAATAGACTTTTAAGCATAACCCAAAATGTACAAGCAGCAGAAGACAAACTAGATGAATGGGACCTTCTAAAAACTGAATTTGTGTGTGCTTTAAAAGAGTTCTCCAAAAGAGTCAAAAGAACCTACAGGTTAGGAAAAAAAATATTTGGCAATAATATATCTGATAAGGGACTTATCTCTAAAATTTATAGAAAACTCTTAACACCTCAACAACAAAAAGACTAATAATCCAATTAAAATATGGGCAGAAGACATGAACAGACATTTCACCAAAGAAGATATTCAGGCAGCCAAGAAACACATGAAGAAATGTTCATTATCATTACCCATTAAAAAAAAAAAAATTCACTACCATTGAGTTGATTCTGACTCATAGATACCCTATTTGGGTTTCTGGGGTGGTAAATCCTTATGGAAGTAGATTGTCTAGTCTCTTCTTTTTGCATAGAGGCTGGTGGGTTTGAACCACCAATCTTTTGGTTAGCAGTCAAATGCCTTAGGCACCACACCACCAGAGCTCCTTCTATTAGCCATTAGAGAGATGCAAAATCAAAACAACAATGAAATACTATCTTGCTCCAGCACTAATAACAAAGTCAAACAAGGCAGAAAATAACAAATGCTGGTGAGGATATGGAGAGTTTGGGACACTCATACACTGCTGGTGGAACTGTCAAATGATACAACCATTGCAGAAAGTAATATGGTGATTCCTTAAACAGTTGGAATTAGAAATACCATTTGATCCAGCCATCCTATTACGAGGTATATATCCTAAAGAAGTTAGAATCAGGACAAGAACAGACACATGCACACCCTTGTTCATCGCAGCACTATTTACAATAGCAAAAAGATGGAAACAACCTAGGTGAGTATTAACAGAAGAATGGATAACCAAACTATGGTACATGCACACAATGGAATACTATGCAACACTGAAGAATAATGTAGAATCTGCAAAACACCACAGAACATGGATGAACTTTGAGGATATTATGCTGAGTGAAATAAGTTAATCACAGAAGGACAAATATTGTATTGATTCATTATTGTAAAAGTCAATGAAACATTTATATATGGAAGGAAACTTTCTTTGTTAGTTATGAGGGGTAGGAGAGAAAGAGGGAACACTGCAAAAATAAAATAAAGTCAAGGAAAAGTTTAGACAAGGAAGGAAATGTTCTTTGTTGGTTACCAGGGATAGGATCGAAGGGGAGATAAAATTTCTGGCTAGTTAAGAAGAGCCAATGTGTGACCAGCACAATATCACTAAGGCAAAGGAAGACATGGATAGGTGCACAAAACGTACAGACAACAAAGGTAAATACTGTAACATACACAATACTACATTGTCAGTAATAACAAACATTAATCTATGGGTGAATACATAGGTAGACAGGTAAGAAGATCAGGTATGGGTAGGTGAACAGGAATATACCCATAACCCATAATATGTAGGTTTGGCAGGCAATATTCCTACACATGTATTTATATGTACTATAAAAATGTCCATGTATATTATAGAGCTAACAGGGCACAAAGTTAGGATCATTTCTTAGCCACAATTAAGCACCTTGAAGGAATGACTTGCTGGGCCTGCAGGCTCAGGACCATGGTTTCAAGTTCAATTGGCATAGCATAGTACACAGCAACGTTATTTTATGTCTTACTTTGGTGAGTAGTGACAGGGGTCTTAAAAGCTTACAAGCAGCCATCTAAGATCCAGCTATTGGTCTCTCCTCATCTGGAGCTAAGAAGAGTGAAGAAAATAAAAGATGCATGGGAAACATTAGTCCAAGGGACTAACGGACCGTGAGAACTCAGCCTACACAGCCCTGAGACCAGAAGGACCAGATGGTGCCTGGTTACTAATGCCAACCACTCGGAAAGGGATCAAAATTGGAGATCATGAATAGAATGGGAGAAAAATGTGGAAAAAAATTCAAAACCAAAAAAGACCAATATTATTGGTCTGGTAGAGACTATTGAATCCCCTGAGACTCTGGCTCCTAGTCACCCTTCAGACCTGGAATTGGACCAACTCCCATGGCTTAACTCTCAGCCAAGCAATTGATAGGCCTACAAGCTACACCATGGAGATGCACTCCTTAGAACAATCAACTATAGGAGATCAGAAAGGCAGCATTTGCACTAGGAGAAAGGTAGGGAGGCGGGAATGCATAGGTAAAAAGTTCACTCAACTCCAAACTCACTGCCATCAAGTCAGCTCCAACTCCTAGTGACCCTCCTTGAGTTTCTGAGGTGTTATCACTACGGAAGTAGATTGCCCAACCTTCCTTCCAAGGAGTGGTTGGTGGGTTTGAACCACCAGCCTTTCGGTTAGCAGTCAAATGTCCTAGGCACTACACCACCAAAGCTCCAAAAAAGTTCACAGGCAAAGAGTAATGACAGGGAGGAAGTGAAAAGAAAGCTATTACATTGCAGGGATTGTAATCATGCCACAAAACAAAATGTGTATGAGCTGTTAAAAGGAAAATGAATCTGCTTTGTAAAATTTAACTCAAATCACAACAAAAAGTTAAAAAAAAGGTTATGTTTTGTTAACCCACTAAATTTATAGGTAAATTTGTTGTACAGAAATAGATAATTAATATACTAGAAAAATAGCTACTAAGTGTTGAGAGAAAATAAATATTAACCTAGAATTGAGAAAATATATTCCCCTAGAACAAAGGCAAAATAAAATCATTACAAGGTAAACTGAAATGAAGGAAATTTAACACCAGAAGTCTGCTCTTAAGGAATTCCTAAAATATGTACTTAAAGAAGAAGGAAATTAATCCCAAAGGAACAGTCTAGTGTGTGAGGAGAAATGGTGAGCAAATAGAATGATGAATATATGGATGAATCCAAACAAGCATTCCCTATGTGAAATAATAAAATAGCATCTAATTTGTGGGCTTAAAGGCAGAACTCAAATTTTCAGCATAATTGAATTGGAAGGTGATGATTGAAGCTAAATGTTTAAAGTCCTTTTATTGCTTGGGAAGTGGTCAGATATAATTTAAGTGTTCATTTATATATATAGGTGAAAATTTAAGAATTTGCTTTAAAACAATAGAATCAGCATATATAAATTTCAAACCAATAAAGATAGAAAATTCAACAAAAGGAGAGGGAAAAGAATACTAAGACAAACTGAAAAATTCTTTGTTGTTGTTGTTATGTGCCGTCAAGTCCACCCGACTCATAGGGACCCCTCCTTGGGTTTCTGAGGCAGTTTAACTACGGAAGTAGATTGCCCCATCTTCCTTCCGAGGAGTGGCTAGTGGGTTTGAACCGCCAGCCTTCTGGTTAGCAGAAAAATCTTTTAAAATGTCAGAAAAGAAATAGAATTGTGAAATGATAGAAACAAGTTTATTAATCTCAATAATCATGGTAAATGCAAATGAACTATATTTACCACCTAAAAGAGCTGATCAAATTGCTTTTTAAGCCCACATACTCCAGTTATCTGCTGTTCTCAAGAAATGTACTTAAAATAATGGGATGAAAAGAAATTTAAAGCAAAAACATGGGGAAAGATTGTTGTGGTTGTTGTTGTTGTTGTTATGTGCCATCGAGTCGGCCCCGACTCATAGCGACCCCTCCTTGGGTTTCCGAGGCAGTATCACTACGGAAGTAG